CAAAACAAGAAAGAGGCTTGATGAGTAACAGCTATTGCCTCTGCATTTACAGGTCAACTATAAATATACAGTATTGGCTAACATACATAATAGCACACATATCTGTTCACATGATGTTCAATGCCATGTTAATAGGGTCAATACCAAAGCTATTTAAAATTTCCAAACAAGGAAGCAATGGTTGTAAACCTTCTCTTTTCTGAAAACGTGGATTCAGAGTAGTAAAACGTTCCAAAACGTTAAGGTACACCTTAGTAGAGAAATTAAGAAAGTCAGCTCAGAATGGATTGAGATTAGAAATAGGTTTCAGTAAAGTGCAAGAGCAAGATTTTGACTATAGGCAAATTTATAGCATTAACTTTACAACAAAATGATATGCTCCAAATGAAAGCAAAATTTTCATAGAAGTGGGATTGAACATTGAATCACCAGGCTCGATGAGGGGGAAAAAATACTATCAATGAAGGTCAAGTTTCCAGTGTCCTTGGCAGATAATGGTCCTAGAGCAGAGATAGCTACATCAAGTTATCATTAGTTAGTAGCATTACATATTAAGATTATCAACTAACTTCCCCTATCATCAGCCAGTTTCTGTCACTCCAACTCTACACTAATGAAAAGCCTCCTGGTTTTACCCTGGTATCCTCTCAGGGTATGCCACAGAGATTGTGAATGTGCTCACAACCAGTGATCTGGCCAAAGTGGCCATTATGTTTTTCATTAAAAAGAGATACTCTGGTATTGTTGCTTATAAGTCAGTCTCTTAAAAAGTCCAATTTGCATGAATCTATTGAGAAACTGGTCATCTGAAGATCCACAGTCAAAAAGCAATGTGGATAAAGAGCAAAAGAAGATGCAGAATAGAAGCCTTCACCAATCATCCCCCGCCCCTTGTAGGAGCACCAAATTTACATCTAAACACACACACACACACACACACACACACACACACACACACATTTATAAGAACCAGAAATCAGGTGAGTAATTATACTACCTGGCTTTAACTTCATATCACTGAAAGAGGCACTGAAGAGGGTAGGAAAGACAGTCTTGAATCACCAATGCCAACCTTCTTCCATTCCCCCAGTAAAGGTCACATGGCAGGAAGAATCTGTACACTTGGGGAAGGGAGAGTGCAGAGATTCTGGGACTCTGTATTGAATACGGTCCTGCCCTGTCACAGTGGAAAGCACAAGTGAGCAGAACCCAGTGATGCCTACCCATGGAGGGAGCATTTAGACCAGCCCTAGGCCATTTTGGTTGTTGGAACTTGAGTCCCAGCAAGCCACAAAACCATGGGCTAAACTGATCTGGGTTGTTAAATAAACTTGAAAGGCCGTCTGGGCCACAAGGACTGCAATTCCTAGGCAAATTCTAGTGTTAGGCTAGGCTAGACATGGCAGGAATGTGATCTAGTGAGACACCAGCCAGCGCAGCCAAAAAAGTGCTTGTGCCACCCCTCTCGCAGCCCCAGGCAGCACAACTCTCACCAATAAGTGATTCATTCCTTCCTCTTGAGGAGAGGAGAGGGAAGAGTACAGAAAACTTTATCTTGCATTTTGGATGTCAGCTCAACCACAGGAGGGAAAGGCATGGGACAGAGTTTTGAAGCCCCTATTCCAAATCCTATATCCCAGATGACATTTCTAGACACATCCTGGGCCAGAAGAGAGCCCTCTTCCTTTAAAGGAAGGAATCTGTCCTAGCAAGATTTATCACCTGCTGACTAAAAAGCCCCTGGGCCCTGAAAAGCCATTACTGATAACCAGGTAGCACACCATGGGCCTTGGGTGAGACTCTGAAATGGGGTGACTTCAGGTAACACCCAGCATATTCCCATCTGCAGTGGCTAGGCTGAGAGAATATTTCTGCTTGAGAAAAGCAGAGGGAAAAGTAAAGGGAACTTTGTCTTACATCTTAGGTACTATATTGGCCACAGAGGGGTAGAGCACCAAGAGGGCTCTTAGGATCCCTGCTTCCAGGCCTTGACACTTAGTTGGCATTTCTGGACCAGCCCTGGGCCAAAGGGGAGCCCACTGACCTGAAGGGTGAGTCTCAGGTCCTCAGCATTCATTGCAAGCTGTCTGATTAGCGCTTGGTCCTTAAGTAAATATTGGCGGTAAACTGGCAATACCCACTGTGGGTCTTTGGTGGTGGCCAAGGAAAGAGGTTCTTATTCCTGTAGAAAAGTGAAGGAAGAGTGGGAAAGACTTTGTCTTGCAGTGTCAGTGCCAGCATAGCTGGGGTAGAATAGAGCACCAGGCAAATTTCTGAAGTTTATTTACTCTAGTCCATGTAGGAGTAAAAAGCAGCTATCTGGACCCCCAGGGAAACTCACCACCCTAAAGGGAAGAACACAAGCCTGGCTGATTTTAGCTACAGCTGAAATATTCTTCAAACACGACGGAGAAATAAAGACTTATCCAGACAAAAAAAAAAGCTGAGGGAGTTCATCAACACCAGACCTATCATAAAAGAAATGCTAAAGGGAGTTCTTTAATCAGAAACTAAAGAACATTAATGAGCAATAATAAACAATCTGGAGATACAAAACTCACTGGTAATAGTAAATACACAGAAAAACGCAAAATATTATAACACTGTAATTGTGGTGTGTAAACGACTGTTATGTGGCAAGACTAAATGAAAAGTCAATCAAAAATAATAACTACAGCTTTACAAGACACAGTACAAGATATAAATAGAAACAACAAAAAGTTCAAAAGTAGGGGGAGAAAAGTTAAACTGTAGAGCTTGGATTAGTTTTCTTTTTTCTTATTTGTGCAATCAGGGTTACACTGTCATTAGTTTAAAATAACAGGTTATAAGATAGTATTTGGAAGTCTTATGGTAACTTCAAATCCAAAACATACAACAAATACACAAAAAGTAAAAACCAAGATATTAAATCACTAATCATACTACCACAGAAACTCACCTTCACTAAAAAGAAAAGAAAAAGAAAGAAAGAGAGAGAAAGAGAGGAAGGAAGGAAGGAGGGAAGGAGGGAAGGGAAAAAACACCAGAAAACAAAGAATAAAATGGCAAGAGTAAGTCTTGACTTTTCAATAATAACATTGATTGTAAATGGATTAAACACTCCAATCTAAAGACACAGAGTGACTGAATGGATTAAAACACAAGATGCATTAATCAGTTGCCTTCAAGAAACATACTTCACCTATAAATATAGACTAAAAATAAGGGGAAGAAAAAACGGCATTTCATTCCAGTGGAAGTGAAGAAAGACAGAAGTAGCTATACTTGTAATAGACAAAATATATTACAAGGCAAAATCTATAAGAAGAGACAAAGGATTGTAATTGTATAATAATAAAGAGGCAAATTCAGCAAGAGGATACAATAATTATATACACATAAAATACTGGAGCATCCATAAATATAATGCAAATATCACTAGAGCTAAAGAGAGAGATTGACCCCAATACAATAATAGCTGGAGACTTCAACATCCCACTTTCAGCATTGGACAGATATTCCAGACCGGAAATCAGCAAAGAAACATCGTACTTAACCTACACTATAGAACAAATAGAACAAATAAAAATCTAACAGATATTTACAGAACATTTCATTCAATGGCTACAAAATACACATTCTTCTCCTCAGCAAATGGATTATTCTTGAGGGCAGGCTATATATTAAGTTACAAAGCAAGTCTTAAGACATTCAAAAAAAAAATTAAATAATATCAAGCATCTTCTCTGACCACAATGGAATAAAATTAGAAATCAACAAGAGGAATTTTTAAAACTATACAAACACATGAAAACGAAACAATATGCTCCTAAATGGCCAGTGAGTCAATAAAGAAATTGAGAAGAAAACTGAAAAATGTATTGAAAACAAATTATAATGAAAACATAGCATACCACATGGGATACAGGGTAAGCAGTACTAAGAGGGAAAGCTATAGCTATAAGCACCCATATCAAACAACAAAATGACAAAACTCCAAATCTACCAAAAAAATACAAAAATTAGCTAGATGTGGTGGCATGTGCCTGTAGTCCCAACTGTTTAGGAGGCTGAGCTGGGATAATTGCTGGAGCCCAGGAGGTCTGGGCTGCAGTAAGCTGAGATCATGCCACAGCCCTCCAACCTGGGTGACAGTGAGAATATGCCTCTAAAAAATAAAATGAATAAAATAAAATATGAAGGAAGAAAAAGGAGAAGGAGGAGGAAGAGGGACAATGACTTCAAATAAATATCTATTACTTGTGCATAAATAAATAATAATGCATCTTAAAGAAGTAGAAGATCAAAAGCAAACTGAACCCAAAATTAGTAGAAGAAAATAAAGATCAGAGTAGAAGTAAATGAATACATGAATTGGAAATAAACAATACAAAAATAAATTTTTAAAAAGTTGTTTTTTTAAGATAAAATTGACAAACCTTTAGCAAAACTAATGACAAAAAAAGAAAGATGAGTCATATAGATAAAATCAGAGATAAAAGGAGACATTACAACTGATACAGCAGAAATTCAAATAATTATTATAGTTACTATGAGCAACTACATGACAATAAATTAGAAAATCTAGGAGAAATGGATAAATTCCTAGATATTAGAAACCTCTCAACATTTACCATGAAGAATTCCAAAATCTGAACACACCAATAACAAGTAACAAGATCAAAGCCATAATAAAAAGTCTCCCAACAACAACAACAAAAAAAGCCTGGGAACCAAGGGCTTCACTCTGAATTCTACCAAACATTTAAAGAATAACTAATACCAACCCTACTCAAATTATTCTGAAAAATAGGGGAGGAATGAATACTTCCAAACTCACTCTATGAGGCCAGTATTACCCTAATATCAAAACCAGACAAAGGCATACCAAAAAAAGAAACCCACAGACCAATATCTCTGATAAATATTTGCACAAAAATCCTCAACAAAATACTAGCAAACCAAATTCAACCACATATTAGAAAGATAATTTATTTTGACCAAGTGGGATTTATCCTAGGGATGCAAGGATGTTTTAACATACACACATCAGTCAGTGTAATACATCATATCAACAGAAGGGAGGACAATAACCATAAGATCCTTTCAATTGATACTGAAAAAGCATTTGATAAAATTCAACATCCCTTCATGATAAAAACCCTTAAACAACTGGGTATAGAAGGAACATGGCTCGACATAATAAAAGTCATATAAAACAGATCCACAACTAGTGTCATATTGAATAGGGAAAAGCTCAAAGCCTTTAAGATTCAGAATACAATAAGAATGCCCACTGTCACCAGTGTTACTCAACATAGTACTGGAAGTACTAGCTAGAGCAATCGGACAAGAGAGAAAAATAAAATACTTACAAATTAAGGAAGAAGTCAATTTATCCTTCTTTGTAGATGATATGATCCTTTATTTGGAAAAACCTAAACTCCAACAAAAGAATAGTAGAACTGATAAGTTGAAGGATACAAAATCAACATATAAAAATAAGTAGCATTTCTATATGCCAACAGTGGGCAATCTGAAAAAGAATCCCATTTTGCAATAGCTATAAATAAAATTAAATATCTAGGAAATAACTAAAGAAGTAAAAGATCTCTACAATGAAAACTATAAAACACTGATGCAAGACATTGAAGAGGACACAAAAAAATGGAAAGATGTTCCATGTACATGGATTGATAGAATAAATAGTGTTAAAATACCCATACTACCCACAGGAGTCTATAGATTCAATACAATCCATATTAAAATACCAATGACACTCTTCACAAAAATAGGAAAAGTAATCCAGCAATTTATATGAAAGTATGAAAGATCAAGAACAGCCAAAGCTCTCTTGAGCAAAAAAAAAAAAAAAAAACAAAACTAAAGGAATCACATTATTTGACTTCAAATTATGCTACAGAGCTGTTGTAACCAAACAGTATGGTACTGGCATAAAAACAGACACATAGACCCATAAATGGAATAGAGAACCCAGAAACAAATCCATACATCCACAGTGAACTCATTATTGACAAAGGTGCCAAAAAATATATATTGGGAAAGAGACAGACTCTTTAATAAATAATGCTGGGAAAACTGGATGTAAATATGCAGAAGAATTAAACTAGAAGCCTATCTCTTGCCTTAAACAAAAATCAAATCAAAATGGATTAAAGACTTATATCTAAGTCCTCAAACTATAAAACTACTTCAAAACAACAACAACAACAACAACTTTGGAGAAACCCTCCAGGATGCTAGACTGGGCAAAGATTTCTTTAACGATACTGCACAAGTACAGTCAACCAAAGCAAAATGAATAAATGCAGTCACATCAAGTTAAAAACCTTCTGTGCAGCAAAGAATACAACTGACAAAGTGAAGAGATAGCCTACAAAATGGGAAAACAATATTTGCAAACTGCCTACCTGACAAAGGATTAATAACCAGACTATACAAAGGGCTCAAACAACTCTATAGGAAAGAAATCTAATATTCTGATCAAAAAATAGACAAATAGTTGAATAGACATTTCTCAAAAGAAGACATACCAATTCCAAACAAGCATATGAAAAGGAGATCAATGGATCTCTAACAAGCAGGAAGAGGCCCAGTGGCTGCTACCACCTTGTTTCCGCGCCTAACCTCTCCCAGGACTCGTGATGCCAAGGCCGCTGAGAGTCGGGGTTGAGCCCCAGCTGAGCTGAGGGCTCACACTCTTCCGGTCTCCCAGGCCCGCCCCATCTAAAGATATTCTCCAAATATGGCAAAGTTGTAAAGAAAGTGGACACTTAAGTTATGCCTGTCAGAAAAATATGCTTGGAGAACGTAAGCCTCCAAAGAAGAAAGAAAAAAAGAAAAAAAAGAAAGCTCCTGAACCAGAAGAAGAAATTGAGGAAGTAGAAGAAGAAAGTGAAGATGAAGGGGAGGATCCTGCTCTTGACAGCCTCAGTCAGGCCATAGCATTCCAGCAAGCCAAAATAGAAGAACAACAACAAAAAAAAAAAAAAATGGAAACCCAGTTCAGGAGGTCCCTCAACATCAGATGATTCAAGATGCCCAAGGAAAAAGAAAAGCATGTATTTCAGTGACGAGGAAGAACTTAGTGATTAAAATCTTACCCTAGCACAGTAATAAAAATCAAGATTTGTTAGTAACAATCTTGAAGAGCTAATCTTAATAAAAATAAGAAAAGTTAATACTGTCATGTTAATACTATTGCCATCTTAAGAAAAAATATATTTTAAACTTTTATTTGAAAAGTTCATTATAAGGGCTTTATTCATATCTGATTTGTTTACATGAGGACTTCTGAAATTTAATCCTTAAAAACTTCCTGAAACCCAAAAAGTTGAATGATTTATTGTTACTTATGTTAATAAACTTTTCAAGTGAATTTTGTCTTAAAAAAAAAAGGAGCTCAACATTTTGATCATCAGAAATATGCAAATCAAAACTAAAATGAGATATCATCTCACCCCAGCTAAAATGGCTTATATCCAAAAGAAAGGTAATAATAAATGCTGGCAAGGATGTAGAGAAAAGTAAACTCCTGTACACTGTTGGTAGTAATGTAAATTAGTATAACCGTTATGGAGAACAGTTTGGACGTTCCCGAAAAAAAAAAAAAAAAAAAAAAAAAAAAACTAAAAATAGAGCTACCCTATGATCCAGCAATCCCACTGCTAAGTATATATCCACAAGAAAGGAAATCAGTATATGGAATAGATATCTGTATTTCCACATTTACTGCAGCACTATTCATAATACCTAAGATTTGAAAGCAACCTAATTGTCCATCAACAGGTGAATGCATAAGAAAATGTGATACATATGCACAATGGAGTACTATTCAGCCATAAAAATGAATGGGATTCTGTCATTTTCAATACATGGATGGAACTGGAGATTATTATATTAAGTGAAATAAGCCAGATACAGAAAGACAAAGTTTGCATATTCTCACTTATTTAGGGGAACAAAATTAAACAATTGATCTCGTGGTGATACAGTAGAAGGATGATTATCAAAGGCTGGGAAGAGAAGGGGTGGGGAGATGTGGGGATAGTTAAAGGGTACAAAAATAGCCAGAAAAATTAATAAGAGCTAGTGTTTGACTGCACAACAGAACTACAGTCAATAATAATTTAATTGCACATTTTAAAATAACCGAAGGAGTATAATTAGGTTGTTTGTAACACAAAGAATATATGCTTAAGGTGACGGATACCCCATTTATCCTGATGTGATTATTATGCATTGGATGGCCATATCAAAATATCTCATGTACACCATAAATACATACACCTCCTATGTACCCTAAAAAATTAAAAATTAAAAAAAGAACAAAAGCCAATGAGAAGAAAACCCTGTCTCAGCAACCTCACAAATAAATGCGTTCCTGTGCGACCTCTCTTGAGTGCAAATGCCATAACTATGAAATAGGGACAATAGGAAATATGCCCCTCTGATATGGTTTGAAGATTAAATAATATGACTTCTGTGGCATAAATATGATTAGTGCTGTTATTATAAGTATTATGACTAGAGAACTTGTTAAGGTAGTGAAGAAGTATTTTTTGACGAGTACTTCTCAAAATTTAATGCACATATGTAAAACGCGTAAGGATATTATTGAAATGCACATTCCGATTCAGTAGTGTTTGAGTGGAATTTGGGATTCTGCATGCCTAACCTGTTCCCAGGTGATGTCACTGCTACTAGTCCATGGACCACATTTTGTAAAGCAGGGTTCTAGATTACATACCTACTATACCCAATCCATTGAGCTTAATGACTTCCACAGCAGAAATACCTAACATCTCAAATCCCCTTCACTGTTCAGATAAGCAACAAGAGTATGGCACTAAGGTTGGCCACTTTGAACAAGCACCACTGGGCCATTAGACCAGCTGGTCATATTTACACTGATGTAATTGTCCTTTCAAGTTTCCTGTTCTCCAATAGGTGGCAAGAAATAATTTTCCTATGGTTCTCTCCCATCAAAGAAACTGCACCCTAAATTTACCTAAAGCATGGCAGAAAGTATCAATAAAGCTTTTTGACCTCAATGGATTAAAATTCTTTAGAAAATAGAGTACTTTAGAAGAAATTGTAATGCAAAAAAAAAAAAAAAAAACCCATAAAAAGAGCATGCCAAACTTCACATTAAGCTCCAAAGATGTGAACCACATAAAGCAAGAAGCATTAGTAATTCTACAGAATCTGCACAGGGCTAAACTCTATAAAGAATTGGATTTGTAGCATTGATAATACCAAACAATAAAACATTATCCTTTTCAGGTTATTTTTTTCACAGATAAATTCTACCCAGTCAGTGCCACAATGTATTTTAATCAGAACCATATGTGTATGTAAATGAGAGATAAAATATAAGCGAGCCCCTTTTCTTTCTTTGCTCAGTTCATCATTTCTTTAAGGAATAGAAACACCATAAAAGAATAGTCATTTCCATTAATTTTTTTTTCTCCTTGAAAGTAAATTTAGGAATGAGTCAGTGAACAGTTTTCTACCTTTCTATTTTTTGCTCCTAATTCTCCACCCAGCCTATTTCTAATAAGAACAAGAGAATCCTGCTCTACATATATTAACACAAGCACATTTCTATAGTGAATGAAATGACACTATGTTGCAAATATTCAACTTCTACCTCCTATTAGAAGTCAAAAGAGTCAAATTCTAATTTCAGTTTCTCAGCAGTCATTCCCAACTCACTATGTCAGCAAATAACAATCAGTAAGTATCTACTGGCACAAGTAGCTCTCACCAATTAATAAAGTGGATTCATACTGAAAAAAAAAGAAAAATTCAAAGGCAAAACTTTGCTGAGAAGTTACACAGGGTCACCCAGCAACAAATTTCACCTTAGAAAGTGGTAAGCCCACCTACTATTAAATGGAAAATGTTACACTTTTACTAAAACATCTCAATAAGTAAAGAGGTAAAATACTGCAGATGCCAGCAAAACTCTAAAAGCTTTTCTTAGAATTTTCACTTGAATATTTTTTTCATAAAGAAGGTGAGAGAAAAGGGCTGCTTGGGTCATTGGTAGAAGAATGTTGTTATAAGTGAATAAAGGAAAACGCCTAAAGCAGAAGATATTATTTTTTTAAAAAAACTTTACCTTAACTCACTTTCCCCTTTTTGCATAGATTAAATGTACTGAATTGTTCATTTTACTCAGCTATTTGCAGTGATACATTGAATGGTTGCAAGAAATATTCTTTCAGTCTCCCAGAAAGGCATGGTCATCCATCCATTTCTGCCATCATAGCCCAGAACATTCTTTTCTACCATGAGCTACTCTTTTCTTAGAGAGGGTTGCAAAAATACTGAAGGGATACTTTATATATACATAAAAACAAAAACAAAAATCCTTACTCAACTTCTTAAAGTGAAGTTACATAAGAGAGATTTCTCATAAATCTGCTAATACATCTACTGTTTTTAAGTAGTAGGATGAGTTGTCTATCATGGAGTATATTTTGAACTCACTGAGAAATAATGCCTACTGCCAAATGACAATAAGTAAGAGGTAAACTGAATGAAGTAAATTAGTTAATCAGGACTAGTATTATTTTAGTTTTTAGCCAAAATATTAAAATATGTCGGTGAGACATATTGGTAAGTATATTAATAGCACTTATTACATTGATTTACACACAGAGAAATTCAGACCTAGTGGCTTAATAATGTTGATAGCATCATCCATCTTACCTGAAGAAAACAGCTAATCTACTTTAGCTCCGAGTTCATTAAAGACTGGCATTTTTCTCCCCCTGTAGAAGAAACAAGGTCTGAGGTAAGGCACCTTCAGAAACATATTTGCATTCTATTTCCACCAACAGATAATATGATATCTCATAAATAAGAAAGTACAGACTAGAGAAACCATATATATTTTATAAAATACAACAAAATAGGGATGATTAAAAGGTTATTGACACATCAAGAGAGTAAGGAAAACATAAAATTGAAAGAGGGGAGATACGCTCATAGAGGAGCATGAAAAAGAGATGAAAATGAAGTTCAATGAGGTTTTACTAGTATGTTTCACGCATTAGGGAGGCCATTGTCAGGAGATGAACCACCATCTGGGAAGGCTGCAGAAATGAATGAAAATTTAAACAAAGAGCACTAAGAGTTAACAAGAAGCTCATTTCAAGGAATGACATTTTACTTAGATGACCTAAAAAGCATCTTCAAGATCTAACTGTAACAGGACAAGGGATGATGCTCCCAATACCTAGGAAGAAACAAGGTCTTTGGCTACTTATCAAGATGAAGCACCCATGCAGGGAATTTTAGTAGTCAAGAATTTGTTTTCAAGGCAGTCTTTCTAAGGAAACCATTCCTGCTATAGACAACACATAAACTACAAGAGCTACTGGCCTGTATCATCATTGGGTAAAATTCCTAAGTAGCATAGTATCTGAATTGCACAAATAGCTTCCATAGAACATTCAGAGAATAAAGAAAAAAACTGTTTTAAAATAGTGACCATTATACCAAGAGGCATATTGGTCAGCCTTCACCTAAACAAAAATGATAAGGAAAATATTAATCAACTGCAGTCTAACACTTAGAGCAAAAGGCCTAGGTTTGATATTTATACCAACCCTAGAGAATATAACCCCTTGAGCCTAACCTGTGACAATAACATCTTATTGAACGCCCAACCCTGTGCACAGCACTGTTCTAAGTGCTTTACATGTATAATTGTATTTTATTTTCAAAACAGTTTCAAAAACAGTACAATACTGCCATTTTAGAGGTGATAAAACTGATGACTAAGAGAGTTTAATTAACTTTCTCAATGTCACATGGCTAATGAGAGGGGAAGCTGGAATTTGAATTCAGGAATTCTGGCATCATGGCCCAACTCTGAACTACTCACCACAGCAGCTATTTATAAAAATCTACAAAATGCTGTAATTGGATTATCTTCCTCATAAGTCTGCTCCAACACACAAATAGAGTGACATTTGGCAAAGCAGGGGTCTCCAATTCCCCGGCCACAGACCATTAGCAGTGGCCTGTTAGAAACCGGGCAGCACAGCAGGAGGTAAGCAGTGGGCCAGCAAGAATTACTGCCTGAGCTCCAACTCCTGTTCAGCAGCGTCAGTAGATTCTCATAGGAGCACGAACCGTATCGTGAACTGCACATGCAAGGGATCTAGGTTGTGCTCTTTCTGAGACTATAACTAATGTCTGACAATCTGAGGTGGAACAGTTTCGTCCCAAAGCCATCGCCTCCCCTGCTCAATTTGCGGAGAAATTTTCTTTCACGAAACTGGTCTCTGGTACCAAAATAATAGGGGACTACTGTGCTAAAGTACTGCATAAACTATAAAACATAATTTAAGTTTCATCATTACTAATGTTGTTATTTGTATAATTTGAGAGTGCTGACACCAGCTCGGTCATGGAGACCCAAACCCAGGCAGTGCCAAAGGAATTAAGAAACAGAAACAAAGATAGACGCAAAAGTGGGAATCAGAGTCGGACATGAGGGGACTCACAGCATTTCAGAGCTGAGAGCCCTGAGCAGACTCTGACCCATGTATTTATTCTTTGCTAACAAGTGATTATTTTTAATAAGCAGGTACTCAGTGTTTCTTCATAGAATAAAGATAGACTAAACAGGCAGATAGTGCCTGTTCACTACTAAAATAAAAATAAGCTAAAAAGCATTCTTTGTGAGTCAGCAATGGGGACAAGGTCATGTATCCTGTGTTTTGAGAACTGGTTTAACTACTCCATGACCGGTACATATTGCTTACTATTCTATAACACCCTAAGCAGTTTTGTGCCTGGGGACAGCTAGGTGTTGCTTGCCATTTTTTCTCAGTAAACAACATATAATCCATCACACACATGTCAACATCTTTTCCCAGCATAGGAGTTCTTGAGTAAACACTTACAAGGGAAAAGGCCTTCATTTACACTCACAGAGCTATTGTCCACATGTATTCTCCTCCTGTATCCTTCTTACAGCTCATGTAAATGGTGGCGACCCCTATGGCAAGGCCAGTTTAGATTTTAATACTGGTAATAATACCTACAACACATTGGGCACCTATTTTGCAGGTGGACGCTTATATATTTTATCTCATTTAATTTTGTCAATGACTCTGTAGTATGGCCATCCCCATTTTAGAGATGAGGATGCTGGTTCTCAAACTGTTTAATTCACTTAGCATCCAGAGTTAAGTAAGGGAGGGAGCTGAGATTCAAACCCAGAATACTCTAATTCCAAAATATGTGCTCTTTCCATCATGCTACACTGTCCCTCAAAATATGGGAAATCAGAGTTGTTTCAATTGTTATTATTTTTTTGAGGGTGTGGGATGTAGTCTCTCTCTGTAACCCAGGCTGGAGTGCAGTGATGTGATCTCAGCTCACTGCAACCTCTGCCTCCCAGGTTCAAGCAATCCTCCCACCCCTGCCTCCCAAGTAGCTGGGACTACAGGTATGTGCCACCACGCCTGGCTAATTTTTTGTATTTTTAGTAGAGATGGGGTTTCACCATGTTGGCCAGGCGAACTCTTGACCTTAGGTGATTCACCTGCCTTGGCCTCCCAAGGTGTTGGGATTACAGACATAAGCCATTGTGTCTGGCCTGTTTCAATTATTTAATTCTGCATTTTAAAAAATTTGTGACATGTATAAAACAATTATTTTATTATGTTCACAGATAACATGAGTCAGAAATTTGAGCAGGACTCAGTGGGGATGGCTTATCTGTGTTCCACAATGTCTGGAACTTTAGCTGGGGAGACTCAAAGGGCTAGCAGTTACTCAATATAGTTGGAGGTTGGAATAGCATAGAGGCTTTTTACACATATGCCTCGTATTTAGACTTTGATGACTTGAAGACTGGGCTCAGCTGGGCTATTTGCCAGAACATGTACAGATGAACTCTTCATGTGACTTGGGGTTATTACAGCACAGCAGTTGGATTCCAAGAGGAATCATCTATCTTGCCTTTTAAGACCTAGCCTTGGACACTGTCTTGTCTTTTAGGACCGAGCCTTGGAAGTCACTCAGTATTATTTCCACTCCACTCCACTGATTAAAGCAATAACAAACCTGTTTAGATTCAAGGGGAGGAGACATAGATCCTCTTTTTGACTGGTGATTGACAAGATCACGTTTCAGAAGAGCATGGGGAAGAGATATTACTGTGGCTGTCTTTGGAAAACTCAACCTGACATAAATGTCTTCCCTTCAAGACTTGTAACATCAAGTCTCCTTTTGCAAGAAGCTGTTTCTCTTACTCTTCCCTCACTTACAAAATCTGCATATAAAGATTTTACACACTTATCTTCCTAAACTGAATACTATTTATTCTTAAAATCCCAACTCAAGCCTCACCTATTCTACCCACTTCTTGGGAAATTCTTACCAACACTGATTTATCCCTGTCTACCCTCGAAATCTCCATAGTCCTTATTTTGCATTTTGGCATGTAATTGTGCTCAGCTAGTAACTGTATTATATTCTTCATTCTGTTGCCGTTAAATATTCTTTAGTATAAAATGCCTTCCCTCTTCAACTAGATTCAAAACAGTTCAAAAAATTGTAGATTTCATTTGTAATTCTGCACATAGCAGAACTCCGGATATAACTCTTACCCATAATAAGGAAACTTAGAGTTGTATAATATTATTTTGTATTTTTCAAGGCCTATCACTAAACATTATCAATGTGTGTGAATCTCTAATATGCATAAAAATGTAGTTGTGATTTACATGTCTCAGTTCATCCAACAAGCATAATTAACCCACTGTGTGCATAATAACATGTCAAGTACTATGTATATTAGAGATATGGCATGGTTGTGTTTTCCTTAAAGGCATTATTGAGAGGGAAATAAGTCATAGACTTGTACATGTGCACACTGGGACAGAATATGTCAATGTCATAGAGAGGTACACGTAAATTGCTGGGGTCATTCAAAGGTGGAAAAGGTTGGTTCTAACTAGCGTATTGAGAAGGACTCCAAGAAGAAGGTGTTATTCATGCTGGTTACTGAAAGATAGATAATATTTGCACAAGGTGAAACTGATGAAGGGCAGGTTTTAGGCAAGGAAAGAGAACAGCTGACCATATTTAATTGGAGAAACACAAATTATTAGGCTGTCGGGGACCACTCAAAGATTCCTCTCTAGTTCCATTTAGAGTAAGAGATCTGAACTCAGTTTTGTCACTCTATAGTGTTCACATTTGCTATATTTTGAATTTAGATCTCCCCTTTCAGAAAGCCATTTTAAGAGGAGTTGATTTTAAAATCTATACCCCTTTCTCAGTAAAGAAAAGCCTTGCAGATAGATCCTCTCCCTGTTCTCCTGAGTGTTTGACCAAGACACCTGAGCTTGCAGACTACTTGCTTATATCTATTTAGGGCTACAGACCCAACTTCTTTTCAGTTTTTAATATGTGTTTAAAGTAACTGAGGATCTAGTTAAAATGCAGATTCTGATTCCATAAGGCTGAGGCAGATTCTTCAGTTTTTTTTTTCAAAAGTTCACAGGTGATGCTGATGTTTCTGGTCAACCGGACACACTTGGAGTAACAAGGATCTGCATAGTATATGTTATGAGAGCAGGAACGAGGTCCAGTCACGTGCCCACAGTATCGCTAGTATCTAGCTCAGTGCCTTCTATGTCATAGATGATTAATATGTTTTAGAAAACATATGAGTGAAAGAATAAATGAATCAAATAATAATGAATAAACTACTCTGCTATTTTGCACAAAAAGCCTTTCTAACTGA